AGTGGTCTGTGAGTGGGTGAAATGGGCATTTCCCCAACTTTCCTACATGCACAACACAACAGATCTGTTAGGTAATGTGGTGCTAGCCACTTGAGAAAAAAAATAAATTAAAAAAAAAAAAAGATAAAATAATTTAGAGATTAAGGTTTGTTGTTTCGATTTTCTAAATATTTTGAGAACCAATTCAAAATTGTCAAATTGTCACTATTTAAGTCTTTTTTTTTTTTTGGTGAAAAAGAGCACTGTATGTATTTGGAGGAGCAGAAGTCTTGTTCCAGTCACCAGCATTCTGAACTCCCTGAACTCCACATAATGAATCTGAGCTCCAAACTTACAAAGACTTTCTAGACCATGTAGGACTAAGAGTACTGAAGCAAGTAACAACTAAGATCTCTTTAGTCCCAGATTGACCTCCCTTGCAGCTTAAGCATTGCTGTAGAACTGGGCTTTTGATGGTGATGAGTTTCAGTTCATCTAGAGGCATGTGGTAGTTCTGAGAGACCAGGTGAGAGGTAAAAGACATATGTTTTAAATAATTCATTTATAATGTGCCACATGAGGAATGCAATGCTGATTGAAGTAAAATACTTTGCGTAGATCTAAGTGAAGCAATCTCAGATTGCATTCCAGTCTTGCTGACTGTCTAAACATTACATGCAATATAGCATAACACAAACAAGGATATCTGTCAAAGTAGATGCAATCTGTGTTTTAATGAATAAAGCGGGAGACTGCAGAAGATAAGGAGTTCTTTATTTTTTTTAAGCAAGAGCTTGCATTGTGAAGTAGAATATCTCCAAGGTGTAATTCTCAGATAGTATGGGTCTGTAATGACTAAAGAGGGGAAAAGGGTGAGAAAGATCCATCAAAAGAGAAACTGATTTCTCTTCCAGACTACCATGAGTATTATTTAAATTAGCACTTTATTTCCATCATTTTAGGAGCCCTTAGGACTTTACAAGCAGAGTCCAAAAAGCATGAAACATTACAGCAAGAAAGTGGATTAATGAGATTTGTTTGACTTCTTATTGAGGTTTACTGCAGGTTTGATTTCAGTTACTGAGAAGGTGTACTTCATTGGTTTTACTACCTACTTGTCTTACGAATTCCTTCAAACAGTGCCAAGCATAATAGTGATTAGTCCCACTGAAGTCATGGGATTACTCAAAATCATAAGTGCTGGTTTCAGTAGAGCTGGGAGCATGCTTTTAATGTGTGAATGCCTTAAGTAGAGGTGATGGTCTTGCACAGCACGGAGCACACACATTTATGGCTATATTTGGATGCAGTTTGTGGACGTCGTCCTGATCAATAAACTTAAGTACCTCTAAAGTACTCAAATCAGAAGCTGGAGGCCTTCAAAAGGCACAGAGCAGCCTCAGTAAACACACAGGTTTGGGTAAAATTTCTTAACATATGACAGGTTATGACAGGTGGTAATATATGACAGTCATGATTCAGTTTGTAGTGAAAAGCATACATGTGATGATGATATAATTTAGACTGATGTAATTGAGCTTAGGCAGCACAAGTCTAACTGAAAGTTTTGAAGTGTACTTTTAGGACTGCTAGATGGATATCAAATTTCTGAACACACATGACTCTTTAATACTAAAATGAAAAAAAGCATTTTTTTATTTTATTTTATTTTTTTTCCTTAAATTGCCACTTGCATTAACTAGACAGAATTTGTCTGAGGTTGGCTTGGTTAGAGCATGTGTTGTACTTAAGGTAATGGTTTCAAAAAGTACCGTGATGAATATATGTTTTAAATTCTTGGATTTCCTTAGTCCTAGAGACTAAGGAGACATAAGATGCAGTCTTTTATATTTTAATGTTCTTTTAAGACTTTCATTAGGAATGTTCCCATTACTTTAAACACTTGCAATGCAGGAACACTTGCCATGACTGTCAGTGAGAGGTAAGATTGTAGTTGTTCTTTCTAATAATGAAAACTTGAAAGATGACAGATGGATGTGAGTTTCACCAAGTACTTGTACATTTCTCTGGCTTTGTCTTTCTGGATCATGTTCACTTATTTGGGTTGGTATCCAAATAACATTTGCACGTACCATATGTTTAGCATGTCAGCTAAGAGTGTTCTTTCAGATACCCCGCTTACTTATGAGTGTTTTAGCATACGGAAGGAGTGCCCGTAGGCAATGGTGAAGGGCCTTGCAGATGGGAACTTCATAGCCTCCTCATATGGTAAAAGCAGTGTGCCTTTGTAAGGATATTCATTGCAAGGAAACTTCTATGTGGGAACCAATGTATTTGGGCCTTCCTTGGTACCATTTTGTAATATTTCCTTTTGTCGATATCTCAAACTCTTTTCAACTTATTTCAGGGGGTAGGGGAGAGACTTGAAAAGCTGAGCATGAGAGGGATTCTTTTATTTCTGAGAACCATTTGACTTTGGTTTGATTGAGCACCTCTGTGATGAATGATGCATAGTATATAGTGTTCTTAAATGGATTTATATTCATATAAATGTATAAAGAGTGTCATTGAAAAAGTGTGTGTCAATAGATGCAGGAAATAAATTAATCTATTAAATGCTTCCCCCCCTTTTTTTTTTTTTTACAGACAGGACCTCTAGACTGTCTAGTACGTTTTTACTATATCTGTATACAATTAAGAAGCACACATCACATTTCCCTGTCATATGCAAATATGATTGATGATGCTGTAAAAAAAGGAGATAAAATAACACCTAGCTCACCTTTTGTGTCCGTTCTGCCTTGTTACTCTAACTATCTTGTGGTTTATGATTTTTTTTTTTTTTTTTTTTACAAATGCTGAAATCTAGAGAAGGTAAATGAATATAATTTTTTGAAGTTACCTACAACTATTTAGGCTTGTTATGAAGCAGGAAAACATCAGGATGCATGATATATTCATCTCTAATGACTAATGAGTTAGTCCTTTTTCACATTTAATGGGAAAGATTCAGTGATAGAGAGTGACACAGAGATACAGAGTTTTCTAGAGAAGGTAAACGTCTATTCTAACTGTAATTTACAATGCATTAAAAACAATTATTCTTTATCATTAAAGTTAATAATATGCACATTAACCTCTGATGTAGTCTGAATCAATATTGCAGTTTGGAAGATCTGACCCCTGGACAGCTTTGTCTAAATATTGATTTCATTGTCATTTGTATAAGGTATGAAACAAATTACATGCCTCCCTAATATCATTAATGTAGACCCATTGAACTACTCAATTTATGTCTTCTTATAATGCATGACATAGCATGACGGAATTATTGAAGATGCTGTGAAATGCAATTGCATAGTGTGCTAAATTTGATTGTGGATGGCCAAAACCAACACTCCGTAACTTTTAAAAACTTTGCTATCCAAAGAAAGTCCAGAGACATGAATGCTCTACTCTCTAGTGTGCAGTTCAGTTATTAATTTCTGACAAAGTTTCCTAGGGTTCTGGAAGTAGCAATTTGTTTTCCACCTTTGTACTAACGTATTTGTAGCCTTAAATGAAAATAATGCGTGCCCTCATATGCTGTGTCAAAGGCAAAGGTAAGCAGGCACAGAAGTCAGCTAAGCTAGAACAAAAGAAAATTAACGTTGTACAATATTTAAATTTGCTTTTAGCATACATGGTTGTCTATGAGTTTCATTTTGCTAATTGATAGGACAGCAAAATGATGAGCATTGGATTGTTCTTTTCAGTTACTGGATAAAAAGAAAATAAGTAGGAGGGATCTCTCTGTCTGGCTACCACTATCATAATTTAAATATTAGTTAAATATTTTTTTCGTTTTATCGGCTCTTTATTGCAATTGTGTTCTCATCATTCCCTCTTTTTTTTTTCCCCCTTTTCTTTTCTTTTTTTTTTTTCTTTTTCCTCTTTCTTTCTTTCTTCATCCCTCTTTGGGAAGGTCCTTTTTTACATGGCTAAACAAATGCTAAACATGAGACTCAGATGTCTAATTTATTTCTTCTTTCCAAATACAAATCCTGGCTTTGTGGATATCTATGAAAAAGCTTAGTGTAACTTCTACGTCATCCCACTAAACTTTTAGTCTGGGTGATTTTTTTTCCTGTCTCTGTGGTTGGTAGCTGATCACAGCTCACCTTTACTCGTAAGCTGCCATACAGTTAGGGGCACACACAATTTCTTTATGCATTCCTTCTCTTTAGATTAAAAGAAGAAAACAAACAATCAAAAAAATGCCTATATCAGTCAATCCTACCATTTCCATTATCTACATATTACACTTTCAAAGCATCATCTTCATACTTTTATCTGTGGTGGCTTTGACGCCAAGGGACCTTCCTGTAAATATGTGCAGAGCTACTTCATTGTGCATTAATGTATACAAAAAGCTCAACCACATTTGAACTTCTGCTGTGCTGAGACTGCAGCCCATCATTCCAGCTGATATTTTCTTATTGTTTAATTGTACTTGCCCATTTTCTCTCTTTTGTTAGGCTTTTATCTGAAACTGTCTTTAAGTCTTTTTGATTTGGGGGAAAGGATTTGTGCTGCATGAAGTATGTAGAGCATAGTAATCTTTGGATAAGTATCATGGGTGCTATGTTATTACAAATAATATGGAGTAATACTTTTCCAACATATGAAAATGCTCTAATAATGTTATCATTACAGTCAACATAGGTTTGGCACAATTAAAGTAAAGTTCTCTTAGCCGTCTCAGAAGGGTGCTTGGCACCTTTTAGGAACATGCTGGTTTTGATGAGAAAAAAACTATATGGCAATTTTTCTTTTCATTTTTTTTTTCTCCTCTCCTTTTGCCTTCACACACACACATACACAGATGTTATTTTACTGAAGAATCTTAATAGATTACAAGGATGATCAGTCTGTTATCATGATCTTGAATAAAATGCAGACTACAGAACATAGCTGAATTGATTCTTTATTGACTTACAATTTAGAAAAAAATTTTGATTTAGAAGTTGCTCATGGTGTTTCTCAGTTCATGAAATTTGTTCCAAATTCTCTCCTCATAGGTAAAAGTGACCCATTTTGTGTAGTTGAACTGAATAATGACAGACTGCTGACACATACCATCTACAAGAACCTCAATCCAGAATGGAACAAAATCTTCACATTGTAGGTGTTTTGGTTTTGTGAGTGTTTCATGGTGGTTCTGTTGTTTTGTTTGTTTGTTTGAAGGGAATGTAAGTGTAAATCAAAGGTACCTACCTCAAATTCCAGTGAAAGTAACCAGTAACCAACTGCCATTTCTAAACCAAACAGCTGCACACTTTTCTGAGGGTTAAAAACATGAAAAATAAAACAGAGAAAAGGCAACATTTACTATTCACAAGGTAAGAAAGCAAGTTTGTTTTTTGTAAACCAGAAATGAAAAATGCTGAGCATTCCAGACTTCTGCTATCTTTAGTGGAGTTTCAAGAGCTTACTGCTCTGGTTTTGGCCCTGAAGTTTGGATGGAAAAAAGATACTACGACCTTCAGTAAAATGTGGTTGTTACCCTTAATGAACACTCAAAAACTATATAAAGGAATGAATTTTAAATGCGTTCATGCTTTTCTTTGGTCTTTTCTTATGGTCTTTGAATTTTCCATTTGTTATTTCTATTTGCCAACTGCACTTCTCACAATATAATGTCATAATAGTCAAATGTTGCTATTGGGCAAAATGCGGTCTTAATTGCTTAGTTTATTGGAAAGTGATGCAGTTTTTTGTGTTTTTTTTTTTTTTTTTTTTTTTTTGTGTGTGTGTGTGGTTTTTTGTTTGTTTGTGTGTGTGTGTGTGTGTGTGTGTTTTCTTTCAATCCCTGTGTAATTTTGAACACAGTAAAATGTTCTGACAAAGTAGAAAAAAGTCTTCCCCAAACAAAATGTTCATATTATTTGTCTTGCTCTGCTGCCTTTTTTTTTTTCTTTCTGCCTGTTGCAATGTTACATCAGTGAGTAGAAAACTGATCAGCTGCAGGTTTCTCTGCTACTGAAATCAGCTAACAATCCACTGCAAAAATAATAGAGGTTTTTTTGTACACTTTGTGTACACTTATCTCACTTTAGCATAAGTGAAAATGCTGTTATGCCATTGATCTTAAATCACAGTCTATGATGAAGATTTTAATCTTTTTTTTTTTTCCTCTGAGTCTGTCACTCATATACTTGGCATCCACAGCTTTCCTTACCCTGCAGCAGTTGGCTCTCAGGAATGAACTCTGAACAAAAGAAAAACTCTCACAATAGTTGTACTTCCCATTAGCTTATTAACATCGTTCTCACATTTGTGTGTCTGTACAAACATGCTAAATTCTTCATTAATTTATATTTTTTTTAATTTATTAATAGAAATGATAACTAATCAACCTCCATTGCTCAACAGTGTTCTCTGCATAAGAAGTTGCCTGCTTTTATACAGGGCAAAAGACTAATCAGGAATCAAATAGAAGAACTCAAAAGACCTTCAAGGGAAGTTTTCCCCTCTCTTACACACATATCTGCATAGACTATTTTGCTTGTCCTCAAACGTGTTATTTAATTTTGGACTATGCAGTTTCCTCTGGGGGCACATATTTTAGTGAAGTTGAAATGCTTTGCTTGAATTCGTATTTCCTGGATCAGCTGTTTGATCAAAGATGAGTTCTCTCAAACAATTTTGGTATTTTCTCTCTGCATAAGGAATGTGATTTTTCCTCACTTGAGAGTTTACAATGTACAGCGACATTTGTTGTCCACGGTGGTGGAGTGTTTAATAGCTTGCAGGCAAAAAACAGAACTAGCTGAAAAACACGTCATTTCTTACTTCTTGTTCCTAATTTGTTGTAATGACTGCTGAGTGTTTGTAATTAAGCAAGGATTTTAGAATTAAAGAGCTCATTCTCTTTACAAGGATGCCTCATGTAGCTGATGATTGTTTTCATTTACAAGCCTGCAGACAGCACAGTGTTTGCAGTAGGATTTGCTGCAGGGGTAGCAGTGTTCGGGGTGGCTGTGAGGCTCTCAGCCTGCTGCTTGCCGCGGTAAATCCCCAGCGCACCTCCACGCTGGCTCTCCTTGCAGCTCACGCAGCACAAACGCCAGGTAGGAAATTTAAAGCAACATCCTTCAGACAACTTCTGCTGGCAAAGCCTTGCAGAGCACAGTCGCTGCAGCTCCTGGAGAGTGCTGGGGTTACACAGAGGGAAGCCTAATTTTCTTGGATTTTGTTCTCTGCTGTGGCTTGGAAAACATACACCGGTTTCTGGTTTTGCTAACCTCTTGAGCTTTTGTCCTTGGTAACTGCTGGTGTAGGTGACTTCTCTCCTCCGTGTGTGCTTTTCCTTCTGTAGCAATATTAAAGACATCCACTCAGTGCTTGAAGTGACAGTTTATGATGAGGACCGCGATCGGAGTGCTGACTTTCTAGGCAAAGTTGCGATACCACTGCTGTCTGTAAGTTTCATTCACCTGACACACCAGTCTGTATTTTTCCTGCTGAAGGGGGGAGAATGAAAAAAAAAAAAAAGAAAAAAAAAAAAGAAGAAGAAGAAGGGAAAAAAAAAAAAGATTTGCAGCTCTGTGTCTGTCATTTCTCAACCAAGGTCTGTAATAAGAACACTAAAATTTTAACATACTCCATTCACGGCCATGTTGAATCCCATGATAGTTAATTTTTCCTGACAGACTCGGTCCTGGTAATGAACAGGTACTTGTCAGACTTGCCACAGTTGTTTTGGGTTCTCTGTCAGTTTCAGCAGCTGGGGGTCAGGGGTCACCGAGGGGGGGTATTCAGTGGAGACCGCGAGACAGACGGCTGTCATGTCCTTTTCCTGCAGATTCAAAATGGTGAACAGAAAGCCTACGTCTTGAAAAACAAGCAGCTGACAGGGCCAACAAAGGGGGTCATCTATCTTGAAATAGATGTGATTTTTAATGCTGTAAGTCTTAACTTTGGCTTTTTTGTACTGCTAAAGAGTTCAGTTTCATGAAAGCTTTTGTTCACGATTTGTAGAGAATTTCTGTCATTCCTCATTTTCTCTAAACCTTGATGTATACCACAGAATACTCTTCTGCCAATGCCTGGCACACCCACTCTTTTTGTTGCTGCTGCTGCTATTGCTGCTAATGCACGAAGCAGCAGCCCCTGCCTCTGTGTACATCTGTGTGTCCTGGGCTTGGCAGCCGTGACTTTGAAACTTAGTAATTTTTGCAAATCGGAGCATGTGTTATTAGTAAGGAGCGAGTAAGCTTGAAATATTGACACACATTTTAATGTGTAGGTGAAAGCCAGCATACGAACCTTAATGCCCAAAGAACAGAAGTACATTGAAGAGGAAAACAGACTGTCTAAACAGGTAAAGAGTAAGGAAACACTAATCCTTTCCAAAAGCCTTAATATCGAGTGTGCACATCTAAATATCTGGTATCGCACTGCTGAGGGTAAAGAATAACATTTTCATTACCTGTTTACAAAAAAAATATGATAGGTAGGAAGAGGCAGAAACAAAATACGTGGTTTTATTGTATCTCTTCTCTATAAACTGCAGCTTAATTTCCGTGAAATATGTGAATAAGAACACAGTTGAAACCATTAGGTTCTACACGTATCAGATTATAGCGCAGGTGCATGTAAGCTAAGTCTTGCATAAATTTTTGCTGTTAACCTTGACCTGAAAGATCTCCATTTTTGTGCATGGTAGAGACTCTTTCAGCATCATGTAGCCAAATTTTGAACAACTTCATGGAGTAAGGTTTGAATCTCAGGTGGAAGCAAACTAAAACTCCTTATCACTTTTGAGAGCCATCTGGGTAGGAAATGTGTGGACCCTATTTCTTTTTTTCTTTTTCCTTTTTTTTTTTTTTTCATTATTATTTGCCACTGATAATTTTAATAGTAAACAAATCTTACTTTTTTCTGCACTTGAATTACTTTTGTTTCAGTTTTTCATGTTACGTAAATTATGTATTTTATATGGGGAGAACAGAGCTTTTGACTGACTTGTGGCAACAGGATTTTTTTGTTTGCAGTGAAAAGACAAAAGTCTTGAAACTGATTTTATTTTGTAGAAAACTTCTGGCTTGAGTATAATTTAAGTTATCTGCTGGATGAATTGTGAATGTATTGTTTGATATATTTCATTAAAAAGAATATTCCTTTCTTTACTCTTGGGAGTAAAGAGATTACTAAATCTCCATTTTTCACTGTTATGCCAGCAAAGAAACAAGGCCTTTTATTCAAGATTAATTCTTCTCCCCTCTTTGATAACCAAAAATGGCATTGTGCTTTCTGCAGATGGCAAGAGGAGTAAACTTTAAATATCCACTTGGTGGTTTGTTTTTGCTTTTAGCTTTTGTGGAATATCCGACCACAATACCACATGTAGAAAATAAAATAAAATAAAAATGAATCTTTACATATGACTAATGCAATAGAATTTCAAACTATCCAGATGTTCTGGGAGAGAGCACATCTTACCTACCCAGCACTTTATATGCCATTCGATGCAGGAATGATTCGCTGGTTTGTTCTCTTCTTTTGGTCAGGTGTATTGCTGTTTTAGTGGATTTAAGGGTAATCTTCTGAATTAAACCTAGCCCTGTAATATTTCATTTTGATAGAGATGAAGTTAAAGTTACTTTGATAGACACTTAAATCACACATGGTGATCATGTGAAGTTGTTACAAAGGAGGAAAATTGGATATAAAGAATATATTTGATCTTACAGCAGTGATTTTGCATGATGTCAAGTTAGCATCCTACAGCATCTTCTTATTGAGGACAGAATTTTCTAAGTAACTAAGAAAGGGGAAAGCCTTGCCTGTTTAATAAAACTCTGATATCTTAATAACAAAATCATTTGTGACGTTTCTCAAGTGGCTTTTAAAAATAGATCTCCAGTTGTCATAAAGTTGTGCGAGTGAAGACAACAATTTGTATATAGTTTAGAATTAAATTCAGCAAATGATACGTTTAGATAAATTCTCTGTCTTCCAAGTCTCTCTAATTTTAAAATACTATTCTCTGTCTGTGAGATAGACCTTAAACTAGACCATGCCATTTTTTCTCAATCTAACCAAATTAACAATAAGAATATTATAAACATGAACCTCTTCTGATGCTTTTGAGGTTTTGAAATATTTTAATTCTTTCACCTTTTTACCAGCTGCTGTTGAGAAACTTCATCCGCATGAAACGTTGTGTCATGGTGCTCATAAATGCCGCCTACTACATTAACAGTTGCTTTGACTGGGATTCACCCCCAAGAAGTCTTGCTGCTTTTTTGGTATGATCTTTTTTATATTACCGTTAATCACCATTGTGTTATTTGTGTTTAAGAGATGATGCAATCTTGATGTAGGTGTTCCTGATTTTTTTCATTTAGAGTTTTATTTAAAACTATGAGGATATCACAAATCATTTTTATTCACATTTTTTTTTAAATACAGAATTGTAAAATGTCACACAAACAGTATTTGTACATAATTGTACAAATAACAAGTACGTGATATGACACAATACAGTTGGTAAAGTATGGATGATACATATTGAGCTTCTTACATGTTACTTCTGTTAAATTTTGCTTGTTCCCCTTGTATAATGTTTATATTCTTATAATTTGCTTTTATTATTTAATACAGGTGCTTTTACATATCACAAAGATAATATTGTTATTCTGTCTTCTATATACCGATATGCTACACCTGTAACTTCTGTAGAATTACAAACTCTGGACCCAAGTAGTTGCTTGATTGCTAAGAATTAGTATCCTTGGCTAGATTAAAAACAAACAAACAAACAAAAAACTTTAACATCATTAGTGCAAATAAACTACTACCTTTAAAACATCAAACTCTGTTTTTAGTTAATTTTGTTTTATTTAAATAAAACTTGGTTTTGATTTAAATTAATATTTCTTCATAAACATTACCATCATTAATATTAAACTTTGTGCTCATACTAAATTTGGACAATTCCAAGCTTCATCACAGATTGTGTTTCTCAGATGAATGTCTTTTGATTTTGATTTTCAAAACTGATTTTCAAAAACAAGCTACAAATGAGACCAGAGTTCGTGTTTGTTTGGTTTTTGCATATGGGAGTTGCACGAGGAGTTAAAATCTATGCATGGTTACACTTTCTGGAACATCCAGATTAATGAAATTGGTTGAAATACTGAAGTTAGGAACTTTTTCATCAGAGATGTGAACAGAGAATGTTTCTGATGTTGCTTTGATTAATTATAGTGAAAGTGTGGTGATATTGCTATGAGTTTAGGTGCCTGCAGCTTGGGTCTCTACAACTTGGAGAAATCAAACTAGGCATTGGAGCAGCAATACAGGATACTTTGGAGTGTACTCATCATAGGATGACCAAAATTTCATTGGAAAATGCATTGCCTACATAAAACTCATATGCTTATGCTGCTATTACTGCTCCAGTTTGTAAATATTCATCAGTCCAAGACCATTTTTAAAATGCATTTGGAACACCTACCTGTAAAAGAAAAGGGAAATGGAATGACATGATGTTTATTGTGGCAAATTAAATTATTTCTTTCTCTTGGTGCACTGCTGTGACCATGGAAAAAGACATGTTGCTATTAAATCATGGTGGTTTCTGATCATAGAACATATTCAATGTGATAAGAGAGTAGCTGGGAATGCATAGGCACAGAATTTGAGTGGAGTGGGCTGTAGTGAGTGTACTTTATTATTGTAGTTATAGTGTTGCAGTAGAATTTTGTTATTGATTATATGTATATAAAAAGATATTTGTGTTGTTGTTGCTGTTTATTTAGTTTTCTTTTAGTATTTATTTCACTGTAGAGGATACATTATTGTTATTTGCTGTAGAGGATACATTATTGTCAGGGTCAGTACTGTGGCTTCATCGATGTGTTGCTGATCTGCATCCAGAAGTTTTATCTGTGCTTCTTAAGCTGATGTTATTCTGTCCAAAGATCACATTATCCCTCTGTTGGACAAAACATCCATAGCATATTTTGGTCAGCTAAGTTGTATCTACATGAACTTCTGTCATGATTGTAAAGCTTGGATTTAGCTGGTTTCTGGAGTTTTTGAAAAATTGCGTATCTTTCGTGGGAGTGGTTCACTTTCACATGTAGTACTGAGTTGTGCTTGCACACAGGTTATGCTGCAATTCAATAGGTTTTATAAAAAAGCTGTACTTGTATGTATCGTTTTCATCTCTTCACTATTATATAAATCGTATCTTCTCTTGAAGTTGTCTCCCAGAGGTTAGAGAATGTCACAGTGAAATGTCAGTCCCAGAAAGGAGATGAGAAATAGGCCATTCTGTAGGTTTCCAGCTTTGTAGGCAGACTAATAAATAATGTACTAGAAGTAAACTTTTAAACTAACCATTTCTTCCTTCTTGTTGGATTTGAAGACATACATTGACAGATGATATCACAATAGAGGCTTACAGCCACTTCACATAAGTTAAATACATGAGCGTTGATTTTTCAGACCTCATATTGCCCCAAATTCTTAGAGTGACACTTACAGGCAACCTTTTCTCATACCTTACCCCATGGCTTTGCTTTCCAGGGGGACCCCTGCTACAAGACCACATAAGAAGAAATTCTGGTTGACTAGCTCAGTTTTCACAAATATAATGGGTTAGTTATAATGAGAGAGAAGTCCTGGAAAGCCAGACTGCTCTTGGAAAATGACAGAAAGCCTTGATTAATATGGTGACTCTATAATAAGCTACAGTTACCTGCTTTATGCTCTTTGCACACTGAAGTGTTCACTGCAGTTTCTTTTAAAATCATTCTTCTTGGAGAGTCACAATGTTGGCAGGAAACACTAAAGGTGCTGGTTATATATACTCCAGAACTTACATGTCTCAAACTTTTAAATTATTTGAGACGTTTTTAAAAAGGAAATGCTTTCTGAGAGCTTTATTGTGGTGCTCCTTATTCATCCTTTCTCAAAGTTATCTGAAAGTACCAGCTCAACAACCGGTGCTTCACAAACTGTACTTAGAAGCACAGAGACCTAGAAGCTAAATTTTCAACATTCTGGATTATGCATTTCCTGGGTTAAGCAGTTATTTTACCTGTTTCTGTTGTACTTCATAAGCTCTTTGCCTTCATTAGGGATTTTGCATGAACGACTTAAAGTTTCATCTTTTTTTTTCTTTTTTCCTTTTGTGTGCCTCAGTAATCCACAGTAGAAGAATAATTGTGAATAATAATTGGATGTAATTTTTTTTAAATGTTGGTGCTGATCTTACTGTGACATGATATTAAGCTGTTTTGTGGGTTATATTCCAGTTGTTTTTTCACTTGTTTGTTGTGTTGTTTTTTGTTTGTTTGTTTGTTTGTTTGTTTGTTTCCACCTATGCAAAGATATTTGCAAACAGCTCATGAAATATGGTTTGATCTGGCCATAGTGATGTGACTTCCGATTTGAACTACTGTGTTTTATATTCTTTCCTCCTTCTTTCTGTCCTGTTAAATAATGGAAGTTCATAGCAACAAAGTTAAGGTTTCAGTGCAAAGGAGCTTTTACTCTGTCACAAACATACCCATTTTGTCTTCAAGATAATTAAAAATGTGTCACTTCTTAAGCACCTAAATACAGTATAAAAGAACAGAATATGTGCAGAGGGCCTTTGCTGTAAATTCACCTGATTTGCTGGATTTAGTGCAGATTTCTAGATTAGTTGAGCAGTTAATTTTTGTATTTTTTTTTTATTCCTTAATTACTATAATTCAGGCAGAAGAACTGTATTAGAGTAATGCAAAAGTTGTTTTGTTTTGTTCTTTTTCCTCTTTGGAGTAATCTACTGTGGGCACTGAATTGTCTACTAAATTGGGCCTAATTTCCATTCATTTCTTGACCAGACATTTGTGTTCTTGCAGATGTCAGTGGGTGCAGTGTAGGGGGGAAAAAGTGTACTTTTTTTTTTTTTTTTCCAGTACTGTCATTTCTCACCATAATGAGCACAAAAATAATTGGACAACTGAGCTATCAGTAAAAGGACACACTTCAACATGAGTCAATGAATTATTTTACGGGACAAACTTTAATCTTTAAATGTGATTGTAGATAATTTGTGCTACCATCTGTCCATTTGGAATTCTTTTAGCCTTTTCAGTCGTTATACAGTAAGTGCTGCTGTGTTTAACATTAACATTTGATATTTTACACATTTAATTTCTGTACTGCTGCGTGGTCCTTGGGGAGCTTCGCTCTAGTGCTACATGAGAGAGACAAAGTATTGATCAGTTAACATTTCAGCTACATTTATGTATGTCGCAAAATTAATGAAAATGCCAGACAAAAATGTCAGAGTGCACAAAAAGGTAGAATTTAAATTTGGTAGTTTAATGAAAAGTTTAAGATGTGCATTATCAAAAATGTCCCCTTGCCTTTAAAGTACAATTCATAACTGGGTAACTAAAAGGAACCACATATTTTACTTAGAGGAACATTGAACATGAAATATGAGGGAATATATAATCTTCAAAGTGTTTGGTATCCCAAAATGGCCTCAGTAAAGCACTTTAATTGCCTGCTTGAACATTTAACTGTTACTCATAAAATAAACTTGTTTCCTTTCTAATTTGGAAGCAGAGTATCCTCACCTGATCCCACACATACTTTTCAGTATGTCTTCAAATTAATGCTCTCTGTGAACATGCCGGTACATTCTTATTCCTCTGAATCTTTCAACACATGTGCATGCGTGTACACAGAAAATATTCTTTTTTAGGCTTTGAAATATTGATAAAATGGTGCACCCTGCATCCAAGCCATTTATCAGGTCTAACTCACCTTCTCTTTGTCTTCTAATGTTACACAACTCATGTGTGGAAATGACATAATAGTGTCCCTAGCCTTTGATTAAGTGTTAGCTCTCTTGCACACACACCGTTTAATTGCGGTGGTGTCATGCTAATTAACTGAAACTGTGATGGAAATAGAAGAAAAAAAAAGAGCTGGTCAGAGGCAGGAAATGACACAGTAAAATAATTTTGTCTACTTTCTTAGCTTTTCCCTGTTGAAAAGGGAAATTCTCACTATGATACATTTCAGAAGCAGCTTTCACTAAATGCTAAAGGACAAAGATTATATTTTGGAGAAACTTGAGATGGTATCATCAGGAGGTGGGAATGCATTTCCGTTAATTATAAAATATATATATATATATTTTTTTCACACTATAATTTTGGGATAATCAGAATTTAGGAGATACATTAAAGAACTCACAGATTTTTACCCTAGTCGATATCATTTTGGGGGATCTGAC